CCACCACCATCATAATGATGAAGGTGATGATGATGATGATGAGGATGATGATGATGATGATGATGATAATAATAATAATAATAATATAATATTAATTATAGGAATACAGTAATAATTCTAAAATAATACAATAATGCAACAATAATACAGATATAAGGGCGTAACTAAATGAAAGCAAAACTTTACTATCAGTTTTAAAGATAAAATGATAATGCTCGTGTTTATCAGCATGGATGTGATTAGACTTAATGTCATGTTTGTAAGTCGAACCACCCAGGCTATTGAAATATTAATATGCATGTAGGCCTATTGGTGTTAATACTGTTGTGAATCATCAAGCAAAATTGAGTCTTCTAACTATTTTCTTTTTCTTGATATTCTTTTTCTTAATATTCTTTTTCTTAATATTCTTTTTCTTCTTCTTCTTCTTCTTCTTCTTTTCCTCCTCCTCCTCCTCCTCCTCCTCTTCTTCTTCTTCTTCTTGTTCTTCTTGTTCCTCTTCCTTTTTCTTCTTCTTCTTCTTCTTCTTCTTCTTCTTCTTCTTCCTCTTCCTCCTCCTTCTTCCTCTTTCTCTTCTTCTTCTTCTTCCTCTTCCTCCTCCTTCTTCCTCTTTTTCCTCTTCCTCCTCCTCTTCTACTTCTTCTTCTTCTTCTTCTTCCACTTCTTCCTCTTCTTCTTCTTCTTCTTCTTCTTGTGTTCTTCTTCTTCCTCTTCCTCCTCCTCCTCTTCTTCTTCCTCTTCCTCTTCCTCATCTTCTCCTTCTTCCTCTTCTTCTTTTTCCTCTTCTTCTTCTTCCTCTTCCTAATCCTCCTCCTCCTCTTCTTCTTCTTCTTCCTCTTTTTTCTTCTTCTTCCTCCTCTTCTTCTTCTTCTTCTTATTCCTTTTCTTCTACACTTTCTTTGTTTTCTTCTTCATCTTCTACTTTTTACATGTCAATATTTGTGAAGAGAATGCTATGTTAATCATACATACATACCACTTACGATCGTTTTAGTAAATTTCATGTAAAGTGTTGTTGGTCCTTAAAAACGTTACTTAATTACTTTATTGATTTTTGGTAAATGCTTGCTTGCAATACACCACGTAGGAGGTTCTGAATTAACCAAAATATTTGCTGTTGAGATTATCTTGACGATTGCATTAAAAAACTTGAAGTGTTTTACACAGACTAATTACAATTGCAATATTTTACTGTACTAAAGACGATTAATGCAATCTAATCGAAACGTTCAGGTATTCTCCAGACATACAGTAACGGTTTTTTTCAGAAGTGGTGTGTCGCATGCACTTTCTGATGTTTCTCTCTCGAAGAAAACCTTCTGGCAACACTTTATTGATTTTTCTATTATCTCCTTTGAATTACTTTTCTTGCAAGTCTCTTTATGAGGCTTGAGTGGAGTTGCGTTGTTTGTGTATGTTGCCAATCTTGAGCAAACTAAACATGGACGTCGACTATTTTCACAAAGCAAACCGCTCGGCTTATTATACCTCGGCCTAGGCCTATTTCTTGGATACTGTATTTCATATGCTATTGATATAAACGATATAAATCCAACCAAATACATGGATTTACTTTTTTCTTTGCTCTTGGTTTAAATGTTCAGTTCGTAATCATAAACTACAGTCAATCTTGATCGTTTGTAAATCCACGACAATCAATCATGATAATCGTAGCTTTAAAACAAGATAATCTCAAGAAATATTCATACACGTCGTACTACTACAATGATACAAATATTCAGATTCATTTATCAAAATTCACAACGTTTAATTATTATTACCCCTGGTCATTGGACACACAGAGTCTGATAACTGCAAGCCTCTTTGCTCAGAGCTGTAAACTTAAACCATATCAATATTATACAGAACTATATCACATTAGAATTAATATTTTATCCATGTACTATATTTGTAATTTGGACACCGGGCTCACTAAGACCCCAGTGATTGAAAGCCACATGTATGTGTATCTCTCCTTTACTTCTAAATCAATCTGAGTCGACCAATTATGACTCATACTATTATAGGCCTATGCTGATTTTTATTACTAGCCTAATACATAATTTACATTATTGAGACGTAGTATTAAATTAAATAGACATTATAACCGGTTCCTGAAATGTTTAATTCCAAATAATATGCGCGCATAAAAGGAGCAGTCGCAAGCTCACATGAACAAAAAAATCTGGTAGTATAAGTCCAAAACTTTTCAGGGTTGCAGCTGTAGCCCGCAAGACAATAAATCTTATTTATTATTTTTTAAGCAAACTGTATTTTTATTTATTATCTAATATTATTTTCACAAATTTAAATAGTTTTCATTATGATGTTTGAAAGTGGCCACTATCAAAATCTCTAACCCTAACCGCGCTTCGATCTCTTTTGTGTTAAGGCGCTTTAGAAATGCTTTGTAATAACAAAAAATATTAATGATTCTTTAATTTAATTTTTTTTTTTCGCAGTTGTTTTCAAATGTACTGAGTATTCGGTACATTTCCACGTCAGGTAGGGCAAAATTACACCTATACATGTTTCTCCTGACGCAAATCCAGTTATTGTCTATTATTCCATCACGACAATAACAATTACTATCGATACTTTAATTATTATCATTCATTTATTTATTTATTTTTTGCCTTGTGGCAATAAAACTTTTCGCTAAGCTCCCCCACTTGATTATTGTTGCTAAAGTCCCACAAACATCATTATAAAAACATACGAAAACACTTGTATTTGTAGCACAACACGTGTGTGGTAGGACACGTACGTATTCCTGGCCCTTATCTGATTGGTCAATTGTTAAGCTGGATTGACAGTTCGTAAAGGTCTATTTAGACAGTAGATATCCTGAAATGGTTACATTATGTATTAATTTGCATAATATAATAATTAGAACGACACGATATTACTAAGATTGAATGAATTAATAAATAAATAAATACAAACAATTCTAATTAGGCAAACACTTCTGTGTCTGCTTCTATTTCAAATATTTAAACAATACAATTATCCACTTAAGAGAAAACAAGAAATAAAACAGTCGTAGTTTGAAATTAAATACATACCGTACTGCTTCTATTTGAAGGCCTACTTCTACTTTGCTTCTCACCTGAACAAAATGCACACAGAAACCAAGTATTACGCTTGGTAATAATGATTTAAGGTGGTCGGTTATCAACCTTTGTCAAAACTCGACTAAAGTTGATAACCAAAAACGTAAGCTCATTTGGTTTAATAAATATACCTGGCAACATATTACTATGCTACGTTGACGTAATTGAGAAACACAGGTATTTTATTGCAATCGAATACTGTCTTCCGAATTTTCTTAACGTGAATGACTCAAGTTGAGAAAGATCACGTGACATCTGATTCTATCAATATTATTCATTTTACTCTGAACATAAATGCTCGCAATTAAGTTGTTTCATACATTATATATTTATTTATACTGCATAGACGGCAGAAGGTTCCGGGTTGGGGCAAATCCCGTTTGGGGCACCTATTTCTTCACAAGTGCACATTATTATTATTATTATTATTATTATTATTATTATTATTATTATTATTATTATTATTATTATATATATATATTATATATAATATTTATTAAGAAGACACAACAATAATTGTTACTTAACCAATATCCTGAGGCGCGTGGAACGGAGAGAGTAGAGAAAACAGTAGAACTTATACATACTGTTTGTGGTGCTGAACTAATAATAATAATTCAAATAATAAAACATTAAATAGTTAAACCGTTATTAAATTTTTAATTATTGGTCATGTAAACATATTTAGGCCTATACCCAAATATTTTAAAGGACTGTATGTATAAACCTAGTATGTACTTAAATCTAATTTGAAATAAAACCAGACAAGGGAAGGTAGGAGAAGCATTACAAAAGCTAGGTCAGAGTTATAACGTAAGCAATAATATAACCGATAAACTTTTAGAGCGCTGGTCTTAACGAGCATAGAGGGACTAGCATGCACTTACATACTAACAACTCTCGCTTCAGATTTTTTAAAGTGTACCACTGGAAGAAATCAGAAGTGACGTTGGACCTTATCACTTTAGAATTAGCCGTTAGACTAAGCATTGTTTTTTCGGATGAAACCAAAATAAATAGTACTGTACAATGATATTTAATACACTAATAAGAATAATTTAACGATGATAAACGACCAACACTTATACATTTTATTGTTGTTTTTTTACGGTTTTTAGCCCGGTCACGTCTTTGATAAGGGCGAAAGATTAAAATTCTTACAGCTTAATCCTCAAAGTTATCCGATCATATGGAATAAAAAAAAACAACTGCAAAAAATACATTAATAAAGGTTCAACGCTTTTAAACTACCACATTCGCTAAATTATAGATAGCTGAATATAAGTTCGAAGACAACTTAAACACTATTGTTTATTCTGTTAAATAAGCAAACACTTAATAACATTATTATATTAGTTATTTAATTTTGAGAATAAAGACAATCTTGTATTTCGATAGAATAGGTCATTTATTTATTATTCTTACAGGCCTATCGACAGATGCTGTGTTGGAGGCTTTCGGGGCACATTTTTTTACTTTTTGTCAGATGTCGGGCTATGATGAGATGCTGAGGGCGCTTGGAGGCAGTCTAAAGGCATTCCTGGAAAATCTTGATTCTCTACATTCCTACCTCAGTTTGTCGTACAAAGAGATGGAAGCACCTTCTTTTAGATGCGAGAAAGGCGAGGGCAATGCTCTTCTGCTGCACTACTACTCTCATCGGAAAGGCCTGCATCCAATTGTTGTTGGTATGTCGTGGGGAACAAAACAAATCCCAATACTCAATATCTGACAATTTTCCCTCAACATTCATGTAATGGACATTATTCAAAATTGGAATTCTCTCCACAAGTATGCATTTTTATTTTACTGTCGACGTCTTTCAACATTATGGTGTATTAAAATTCGCTTTATTTTAATTTTCCTATTTTATCATGTTGTCCCTAGAATTATGCATTCCAAAACACAGGTTTCCTAAATTCTTTCAGTAGTGTTCCATACCGTCAGCAAATCTCCATAGATATATGGTTTACAAAACGTATGTCTTAAGCAAATTATTTAAAAAAAATACTGAATACAAATTAATGGAAGTAATAATTTTTTTTATTTTTTTAGTATTAGCAAACCTAATCACAGTACAGCAGAAAGAAAATGTAACTAATATCCTATTGGTGCATTTTTATTTTTTTATATGTATCATTTTACAACGGTCGACGTTTTTTATGTATCATTTTTGAACGGTCGACAACTGAAATTTTTTTAATCAATATTTTTACCAATTTCATTCTAATTAGGCTATCATTTTAATTGATCGATTTCATCAGCATGACCCTTTAAACATTTTTTTAAATTAATTGGATTTAATTGTAATTGCTCTGTGACTTCGTATTGCCAGAGGATAACATATTTCCAGTTGTTTTATTGGACAATAAATGTTATTTTATATTATTTATGATCAAGTATTTAAATTCAAGTAATTTGCAAATTATATTTTACTCAGAAGCGTAAGCAAATCTGACAAGTGATTGAAACCGAGTGGGATTTTATTTTTTTACGTAAATTATTTTAAAGTAATTATAACACACACTTCAGTTAAATAAATATATAGATGCTTTTTTCCAGGTATCGTTAAGGCTGTTGCTAAAGAGTTTTTTGAGAGTGAAGTTCGGATGAAAGTAATAAGTAAGACGCACGAAGAAGAGAGGAATGGAAAGAAAGAGCACGTCGCATTCGCAATATATCAGCGCAAAGTACGCCGTGTGGAACCGGGCCCGCCAAAATTCGTGGCGCAGACAAAGAAACACAGCGAGATGCATCTCAATAAAGAGGTAAGGTCGTATTTTGAAGACAGTCTGTAAAGCACGATAGTATGATTACTAGCATATCAAGCTTGTAAATAAGCTAAGTGACCTCATCAAGTCTTGATATTTGTCGAATAATCGAAGATGCAACTGAATTAATCTGGCATGTTTTAATTCTTTTAGGTCTAACATTCTACGAGTAAATGCTATATGTACATGTGCTTTTATACATTGTTTAATGAACAATAGGCCTAATATAATTGCGTAAATTCTTTCCATGTCCTCCTATATTAGATATTTATGTTACATTGTAAAAACAGCGTGGAGGATTTGAACGCAAAGCTCACCGCAATTTGTCCTGTCTTTGGTGACACAAAAGGCTAAACGAGTTTAGGCCTGGCCTAGTGTTTAGATTCCTGGTGTGTGTCGCATTAAATGTGCTTAGGTAAAATTTTAAGCACGTCAAGATCCTAAGCATATTAATGTATGTCTAAACATTTAAATGTCACCAAAGACAGGACAACATGGCGCGGAGCTTTGCGTTTACATCCTCTACACTGTTTTTACAGTGTACACACAATGTTTCAGGCGGAAATCATTTTATTTTACAAATAATGTATTTTTAAATTTAAATTTAATACCAGTAAATAATACAAAAGTAACTATATATTTAATATAGAATAATATTCACATTGTTAATATGGTAGGTCTATATCTAGAATATAACGACTTGGTAGACTAAAAATACTAACATGTTCTGAATTAATTTTGTGTTTTCAGTCTGCCAAGTCGTTGATGTTTTAATTCATAGATTAAAACATCAGCGACTTGGTAGACTGAAAACACAAAATTAATTCAGAACATGCTTTCAGTCTACCAAGTCGTTGATGTTATTATTATTATTATTATGTTTTAATTCATAAATTAAAACATCAGCGACTTGGTAGACTGAAAACACAAAATTAATTCAGAACATGCTTTCAGTCTACCAAGTCGTTGATGTTTTAATTCGTAGTTTTAAAGTCGTTATATCTACAATATCGATTTTCCTTGCTTGTTAGAAAGATATTTTCAAAATAATGCCCATAACTATTGATTAAGTAAATTATATAATAGCAATTTCTCTTCGAACTTGTCACGTGATACACCTTTCAATCCTGCAACTAGTTTTTACTACCAATTATGTACATGTATCTACACACTCGCTTTTCGCAAGATGTACCGTACTCAATGCGCAAACGCATAGGCCTGTATACCAACCAGCATATCCTACCCGAAGAAAATTGTGGCAGATACAGATAATTGTATTGCTTGGGGCGCTAATATATTGGAAGATTCCCTTACCTATTGTGAAAGCTTCGAAATTTCAGCCATTTTGAACGTGTATTTAAAACATTTCCCACTTGGTGGGGACGACACTGTGCAATAGCAGATCCAGTGGAGAGGCCTCCCCACTGGATCCGCTATTGCACAGTGTCGTCGGAACTCACCTACAACTGTGTAAACTTGTACCTATACACCCCGCTATACACCTCCGCCCTGCACCATATCTTTGTCTCCTGTGATTTTTGCCCTTGAGTCTCGTACCATGAACTCCTTTAATACCATACCAAAGATTTCGAAGACTAGTTTCTACATTGTCATACCCTAAACATATAGGCCTACTCAATAATACTCAATAATTGAATTTGAACGTCTACCTAATGGTTCCTCTATTAAACACGTTGTTGACACGTGGATGTTGTGATGGAGTCATAAATGATTGCTGTTTTGCCCTACACAAATGCAGCATAGTTTTGATTTGTCAAACGATGAATGGGAGCAGCTTCTGGTAAGTTGTACCGCAGTACACGTCATAGTTGGTGAGGTTTACGTCACAATGTTCGCACTATGCAGACTGCACTGTAGCACTACAGTATCACTGACAGTAGCACCGGATTTGAATTTGTCGACGAAATAATGGTACCACTCTCTGTCGACTGTATTGTTGTCGGTTGTTGAACCGTTGTGAGTTTGACGCTACAACTATGATTATGGTACTTTATAGCGAACCTAACATTAAAGTTAATGACTTTATTTAATTACAACGCTGGACGGTTAAAGTTGAAATATAGCCGGTTATAAACCCGGCATAAAATTTATGTATTACAATCGGTTTGTTTTTGTTAATAGTGTTTTCTGCACAAGCAATCTCGTGTTGTTTGAAGGTTTGCGAATTGTTTCTACTCGTTGTTATAATATCTGAATGTATGATAATGTTTCTAATAAACATGAAGCGAAACATAGGTCACAAGTAGATTAGCCCCACTCTAGTGATGGATTTTGAAACGGACTAAACAGTTGGGTCACATCACATGGGGCATGGCTGCAATCGGCCTACTTTAATGAAATTTTCGTTTACACAGCTTAACCGATGCTAACATTATACTGCGTGCGCTTTCTGGGCCCAAAAAAATATGAATAGGCCTAATGTTTATAAAATAAAGATGTGCAAACGTGCAATTCTCTGAAACAGGGTGTCACTTCAGTTGTTTCTTAAGGAATGTTGCGGATTATAGATAAAAGGTATACTTAATCACCTCTCAAGAAAGGTACGAAAACATTCAAATACCTTGTTTAACTATATGGATCAATACCTAACGATACTTGGATGCATGTAAAACGCGAAAGAGTCCGGTAACTGATCAGCTTACCAAAAAACAAAAAACAAACAAAAAAAAAAAAACCTCAGAGAGAGTCGGTTACTATAGAGCCATTTGCTAAGGAAGTAAAAATCTTTAAACGTGGATGTAACGTAATGTTCAATGATTGATCGTCATTTATATTGCACCGACTTCTTGTTCACTTAATTTGTTTTCGGCCAATTAATCATATGCCATGATTGGCTGTAAATGTGTCGTATCTTTGATTGATCGCCAACTCCAACATAAACTACTAGGCCTATAATGTTATTTTATTAATCTGCACACTATTCTTTGACTGTAGTATGTTCAATGTTGTGTTATTCAGAAATTATATGGTGACATTAATAATGTTTGACGTATTTGTAATAATTGTGAAGTCATGTGGTTACACACGTTTGAATTTTCACAGTAGCAACACCTTTTTACAATGAGTGAGTTTATGTTTTAGGTACGACCTAAACGTAGTAGTCTATGTGCATTTAATGTGGGGGAATATGTTATTGAAACAGGTTATATTAAATGAAATAGGTTAATAACTATAACGATATGTTTATTTCATTACCTTTTAATTTGATTATTAGTATACATAATTATGAAATCAAGAGGCCTACACAATTATTTAAAAAAAACGAGAGAGAGACAATTAAATTAAGTTAATTGAATTTCCATTATTGCTCACTTGTCAAAAATATAATTTCTGGACATCCTCTTCACCGTATGTATGCTTGGTCAGAGGTCAACCGTTAATTACAAATTGCAATATTTTGTACCGTATTGTTTTGGATTCCTTTAAGGGGAATGCAAGTTATTTCCTTTTACCTAATTGAGGGCTTCTTTCCTAGTCCCCTATTACCCAGAGTGGCTTTTAGCCTTGTTTTGGGCGAATTCCCGTTTACAATTTCATTTATAACCTTAAACACATTTATTCCATGTAATAGTATCAGTTCAACTAAAATAATTATAAACGCATTCACTTGTTTATACTTTTTTTTAATCGGGACCTATTCGTATGGGAATCAAAATGTAGGCCTACTGTAAGTGTGTAAGTGTTCTTTACAAATTGATACAGGGAAGTAACACAAAAATGATTCAAAAAAAGAAGAAAAAAAAAACAATTATACAATTGTTATACCGCTTTCTACAATCGCTAAAGCACTTACCGTTTAGAAGTTCTCTGAGCAAACGAAATCTCACAAATGAGGACAAATGTGCGGTCCAACCAGATTATTACCCACTTGGCAATACGCTAGACCGTAATTTCTCATGGAAAGCGTTTACTGACATCTTTATGCTTCAGTTTGAATGTTGAGTATACTTAGGATTTGGATAAAAATGATCAATTAAAAATAATGTTAGATGTTGATGATACGATATTGAGATTTTTTATAGGTATACGTATAAACGCAATGTATTTATTGCTGGTAGCAGCAATGAAAATCAAAAAAGGTGTTTGCGTTCGAGAGAAAGAATGAACGACATATCACAGTTTTGTCGAGACTGATTACAATCATTATGCGTGCTCATCAATACGATATCCTTGGGTTTCTGGTTCAATTCTCTTTCTGCTCTTCTTGGGGTTCAAATTAATGCACTGTCATACGAAAGATAAGTTTATCCGTTGGTCCCGTGTGTATCGAAGAGCTCATTTACTAGTTAAAAAACCGGAGCCATTATTATCTATATTGAGGTAAGGTTTAATTTTTCGGTCTTTAGATAATAGAGATGGTATGCTTATAATAATGAAGCTCGAACAACGCTTCATCAAAAACATTAGTGAACCCGAGAGGAAAGCAGGTACATTAAAGAAAGTGGTATTACTATATAAAGGTGAATGAGGAGGAAGACGATAAAGTTATTTGATGTGGTACCGTATATGAGTGGTTTTGGGAAAGGGTTGGTGAGTGTGTATTTGTCCTCATACCTGTACAATTGATGGCCCAAAAGAACCACATACTGTACCATAATAAGTCCAATTATCGACCCAAGAAAACAACAGGCCTGAAAACATGACATTAGAATTTGTTTTTACGTTGACATTTTGAAAGAATCGAAAATGTCGTCTGGATTCTTAGATTGCGTTGTCAACTGTAATTCCAAGTTGCCGCGTACTGTCATTTATCATCAGTGCCAATGACTAATGTAATCGCAAAGGCCCGTTCGTTGAATTGCTCGGATGATCCTGGAACACAGACAACAATTTACCAACACTCTAATTGAGGTTCAGTAGTGATGGCACTTAGCTAGACCCAAGAGTCATAAGTTCAAATCATTTATTTTCTACTTTTTTTTATTCTCTTTGAAATAAAATATGATTATAATTATTAGGAAACCACCCGCGGCAGAAATATTACTAATAACGTTGCGTACGCGTAATCCCGTAACTCGCGTTTTTACTTATTAGTTTCATTTACAAAATACAATAAATTAAAGATTTTCTGTTAATAAATACCATTTTCTTAACTTATTGCGAAAACATGTAATTAATTAATTAATTGTTTTGAATAATTATAGAAGGTGTACGTACCTGGATATAATATATTTACATATTTGTACCGTTTAGAAAACTACTAAGGTATAGAAAGTTTAAGGTACGGTACTTTAATGCTTTACGTATTCTATGCTGTTCAATTGTATTAAATTTGCAGCTTTTTTGTATGTTTGTTAACACTGTTTGAAATTGCCGTTACTCACCACTTCCATTGGTAACTGTTTCAGACATGTTTGGATGTCGAGTTTATACACCGTAATAATAATATAACAGCACTGCAATAGCACAATATTTAATCAGTGTATCACAGCAATGATAAGTATGCCTACGATGTTAGGTTGTAATGATAGGTCTAATGTTATCAAACCTGGAAAAATCTAGTGGAAAAAGTAACTAATAAGCCCTAACATTAGGGCTAATGTAATTTAAAAACCCAGTCAACTAGCAATGAGTTGTCTATCGTACAGTAATAGTCTTAACTGACGAAATACGTCAGCATGTACATACACCTAACGCGTGTAGGCCTGAACGTGTGTATGCGTCAACATGTGAAATACAACGAGTTTGTGGCACCAGTTTTTTTTTTCTGGCACTGTATTATTATACACCTCATTTCAGATACAAAATAAATTGTGTGTTTGATAATTTACAGCCATTTTCATGACATAAATAACAACAATTTAACATCACTTATTTATCAAGATGTTTGCTTATAAAGAATGATCATTTATTGATCATTTATTTGTTAAATTCCATTTATTCTAGGATGTTGACCAAGTAATGAAAAACATTGAAGCGAATAAGGATGGATTGAAAGGATCTCCAGGCAGGAAAGGATGGACGGCAATACGATCTTTAGTTACACTGGCTGGGCTCCACGGGAATGAATTTACCCCTGCTTACCCTGAAAAACTTTGGATGGATCAACAAACGTTCTGTGATTATTTCCCATATCATCTTGTATTCGATTGTGATTTAAAAGTCCTCCAGGCTGGAGTTCACATTCAGCGCATATTGCCAAGATTACGGGGATTTGAAAATAGTTGCGTGAATGAATTTTTTTCAATGGTCCATCCACAAATAGACTGGAATATCAAAAGTATACAGAAGTTTATTAATATGCAGTTTGTCTTAGAGACAAGACGACGGATGATTACGCCTCATTGGGGTGACTCGAGGCCGATGTTGCAGCTTCGAGGTGAGTGTTGCTTGAAACAAACCACCACCTCATACTCTTTGAAAAGTAAAAGCAAAGAGAGGGGAAAATTACATTCTGGTTTCAAAAGTGAATTAACAACAAATCGTATTTTTTCGAAACAGATCGGAAAGCCTACAGGACCCACCAGAAAACCGGATTAGTAGGCTTGTAATAATGGAGACGTTTCGTTCAGCGTATCGGTTACGCGGTACGAATTTCGGCTGGGATCTGATGTGCGCAGCCTAATCCTCCAACAGCTCTAATTGGGTGTTTTTCATTTTTGTATAATATATCGGTCATTCGTGGTTTCCTAAAAATTTTATTAACAATTTATAAGACGTGCATAAAAAATACATAATGCATAATTCACGTCCATAATGCATAATATAATTAACGTTAAAATGTTCTTTAATGAAATATAAGTAGAGCGAACAGCAATGTAAAAACGTGTTATGTACTTTGATCTATAATTATTTCCGTCATACCAAATAGTACCTGCTTTAATAACCGAAAAGTGTATTAAAATAAATATTATATGCTAAATTTTAAAATACTGCTATAGGCATTGTACATATGACGATAATATGAATAATATTACTATATTACGTAAATGTAACTGTTTACTGGAATACAACAAGCACACATGTATGGTGATGATTTATCGCAAACGTCATCGCAAATTTGAGTTTATGTTTAGGCCAAGACTTACAGTTTGGCACATGTCTGTAAAAATATACAGGTCATCGCCTTCTTCCGCGACATAACATACATTCATTAAACGAACTTGTAGAGAAATTTTAGTAAAAGTTGTTTTTGAAATTTCTTGATATTCGACGGCAATTTCACACCGTTGGTGTGGTTGCTAACGCCAATGCTGAAACAAATAGCATTTCTTTTTTCTAATTCTGAAATCCCAAGACACCGATTGGTGGCGTCCCATTACAAACGCTGTATATAACTATAGTAATTAACACTCTATCAATACGGCCTGGTGAGTAGGAATGAGAAACGTTTTTCTGGAAAAATGTCTTGCGATTTACACGTTGATAATTGTAGTTGAACTTTTAACACGTACGTATACGTTGTGCAGATATGACGTTATGCAATTATTTAACTTCATTTATATCTCCTCATAAAATACAACATGTATTAAAACAACACTTACAATTTAAACAAAACAAAAAATAACAATAATATAAATAATTTTGATGATGATAATAATATAATAGTAGTGAACCTATTATTAAAAAATAACAGTTAAAAATATACAACTCTATGTTGATGCTAAATTCTAATACCAACAATAAGCAACATAATAGACTGACAACATTACAAGTATGGCTATATTTGATTTTTTACGTGTTATTTAAATTATAGCAGAAAACAAGAACGAGTATGACGAAGGCCTTAATGTAGCGATTCAACAACATATTAATCGTTATCAATAGTGGCATTTCAGTAGTAGCCGACGCCACCACGTTTGCCGTCCACTCTCGTGCATTTTAACGAAACTTATCGTTGGCGCGTTAGCTGTCACTTCTGTTTCAACCAGTAATTAGGCATGAGGCACATAATCAATAGCGAGGGAGAGGAGATCCGACGTATATGTTTGAAAGGAAATCGTACTGGCTATAAACAGTTCAACACGTGATATAAACATGTCAAAGTCAAACTAAAGAACACTAGACAAATCCAATTAGAAAAGGGCGCTCTCTATTGGCTCCGCAATCTGGGGACCTCCTTGTGGTCCCTGCGGGCATGTCAGGTGCATGTACGGTGGTGCGAAGCATTAAGAGTAGATTACGATAAAAACGAAACACTGTACGTACTTTTATTTCAATACCTACATTTTTCAGCAGATGCTGCGTAAGAACCCCTACCGAATCCTCAGTTACAGTGTCGTGCAAAGGGAGATGTTTTACTGTGAATGGATTGGTCTATAGCAGTACGACGCGCATACATTACGTCTTTTGACTACTAAGCGCTTGCTTATATCTTGTACATTAATACTGTCATATTCTTATATGTATAGGTCAGATGATATGGATGCGTCACATTGAGGCCATGGTTTACATTTGCTCACCCAGAGTCGTAAATTTGAAAGAACTGGAGGAGCGACATTTGCACTTGTCTGATATCCCCTTCCATGACGTCACACGCGATTTGATATTATTCAATCATCAGCGGCTTGCAGAGATCGAGCTTGGAAAACAACTGGAACAGAAGAAGGAAGAGCTACGAACAGCCATGCAGGAATTGGCCAATGAAAAGAAGAAAACAGATATGCTGCTGAACTCGATGTTACCGCGCCAAGTTGCGGAACAGTTGAGAGAAGGCAAAAAAGTTGAAGCCGGTAAATTTGCATACTAATCATTGTTTAAGCATGGACCTATTAATAAGTTTAAGTATGGATGGTATTTCTATGCATAGCATGTTCTTACAAATGGTTTGTGATTGAAGAAAGGAACCCTTATTTTTTTGGGTTTTTTATTATTTTTTATATACAGGTTTATATACAATTTATATATTCTCTTTTTCAAAAAATGTATCCTTTACGCATGTCGCAATAATACTCCACGGCAGATTAAAAGATGAATCAATGCTTTAAAGTTCCCCTATGAGGATGAAGGTTGGTTTTCACAAGCACGCACCAGGTGCATATGTAAGCGGTTTTATGCAAACGCAAGGCGCGACTATTCGACCATTTCTCTCATTCTCCCTAATGCGAAGCATTTGAGTTATTTGTTTACAAATATCAAACACTGGCTACGTCACAGTACTCATTGCTAAAGCAACGCTGACGTATTTAGGCTTCATTGGCTGCTCATAGAATACAAACTCGGAGTGTCCACACATTAGAAACCTCAACCACGAACATTTCACCTTTTACAGTTTTATAGTTGACATTTTTTCCAAATTTGTTCCATTTACGCTCGACCGGTAATTTATATAATCAAGTCGGCTTTTTAACACTGACTAACCGCGGCAGTAGCCGATAACGCAACCGAAGTAGGCCATGTGAATTAATCTTTATTCTCAATGGTATTTTATTAGTATCGTAAGTGATTCAGCAGCACGTGTACAGTCCACAGAGCCTGGTTCACACGCTAGAAAAGTTTAAAAGAAATTGTGTAAATTGTCTCAACCGCAACTAAACCAGGACCTTTGAAATTAGACGGGTACTAACGCATAGGTCTGTGCAAAAGTTGTGTTTGCGTCAAATCATTTTGCGTTTTTATAGCGTAACATCGGAGGCGTACGTCTAAATGTAAATTTGGCTACGCACATTACACACTGCTAGCCAATCATCCATAATATACAAACAAATACAGTAAATTACTTATAGCACTATATGCTGATGTATCATTAGATATATAATGTACCGGTAGCATACAATCAGACGATTCACACACAAAGGCGGTGCATCCACATTATTCAAGTTATAAAAGAACAAACAAAATTATAAACAAAGAAATAATACAGTACCATTTATCCTTATCGAGGCACACCCTCTGCATACAGTATTGCAGTAATTATTCGAATAAATGTCCCACTTTAAATAAACGCCCCCTGGAATAAATTTCCCCTTAACTAAAGCCTCATTTTTGGATAACGTCTCCCCAGAATAGACACTCCGTTTCGTTTATATTTAAAACAGAATAAACGCCCCTCTAAATGACTGTAAACTACTCTAATGGAAGCAACATCATTCTTAACACATTCTAACGTTCTACTCCAGTAGAAATTTTATTTTTTCAAACCTGGTTGGGATCATTAAGTCTTTATGATTACGCAATTACACATATTGACTGTAATGTATTTTAGTTCCACATTTACAGTAAAATTAAGTACATATTAAATTATACGTATCCATTTTAAATACAAATAAAATCAAATAAACGCCTCCTTCGAATAAGCGCCTCTCCCGAACGGTGCCTCCCCCTTATAAACGCCTCCTCAAAAACCGTTCTCAGCATGCAATAAACGTCTCTTTTAATATTAGTCTCATACTATATCAAATTATACTTTATACAATTCCCAAAATATGTAACATTATTGACATAGGCGAATTCATTGTCACATTAGTATACAATTGCAAGCAGCAGGTGTGGCGCCTGTCGGAGGCCGGGAAAGAGGATCAGGGCCCGTCGGGGGAGAGATGGCTGGCTTCCCGTCGAGGGGAAAAAAACTTCTCCGGAATAAAAAAAGAAACAATTACATATATTTTTACATATAGACTCGTAAGCCATTAAGTAAGACTTTGTAGCCCATAAATTCTCATATTTTTCAGGAGTTTCCCCCATGGACCACATCTGAACGATTTTAAACGAGGCCTGACCACGCCCATTTCGCAGACATCGCCCACACATGGGGACATGGGACCCCCGTCTGGCAAATCCTTGCGCCACCCCTTAAAAGTAGAAAAATTACACAAACTTCAGTAATGCTACTACGCCCAACATCAGTCGTTACACAATCGGTTTTCAGTGTGAATCAATTTGAGATATGTGCGTACCACAACCACCTTGTTCTCTTGAGCCCGAGTACACACCAATGCACCTCGACTTTATCACAAATAATGACCAAGAATAAGACACCAGGGGTATTATAGTTCCTTGTGTCAAAAAGTGGTGGAGCCAGAGGGCCTGAACTCCCATCGATGAAAATTCTCTCATCATGAAAAGCTCAAAAAAAGTTCACCGGAAAACAAAATAACTATGAGGATTTTCTGCAGTTTATGAGACTGAAATTGATGAAATAAACCATTGAAATTGCTACATAATTGGATTTCCCAGGACAAATACGGTGCCCTCTAAAGGGTTATAGTAGACACCTTCTTATTCACGCTCTCATTGGGGATACCGGCTCCGTCTTTACAATCAGGGTGCGGACATTGCAATTAACATTGTTTTTAACTTTAAATCAATATTGATTTAACACTTAAATTTGGCGTTTAACTCGCTTTACACACACACACACACACACACACCCACACACACACACTCACAGACCTTGAATAAATCTTATACGAATAAACATGATTAAATTACGTCACTCTTTAAATTAATACTTTAAACTTCATTTATGACGCGTACCAAATATTAAAGTGTTAGCAGAGTGTAATGTGGTTATATCTCAAAGTCAACAAAGCATTTTTTAAGAGTATTATTATCGGTGTCGACAATATATCGTCGTATTTGTGCGTGAACTATGGGTTATTATGCCTCGTCTTCTATTAGCGAAGTCACATCTTAAACTACAAGCTGTAAACATTAAACATCAAACATAATGCCGTGTGTGTGCTCAGGTGTGTGGTTGACACCTGATCGTTAATTTGAAGAAAATGATTGATGTTTCAATACAGATAGACACCCTTGGTAAACGACCAAGAGATTCAATCCTTGACGGGTTAGTAAACATAGAGGGCACTGTTCATTCCTCTTACGAAAGCCAATTAACTCGAGCTTAATTAGGAAATGTGTAAATTACAAGATTAATTGCGTACGTAAATGTGTGGAAGATGCGTCGTCAGTTAAGAATAATAATTTCTCTCGTTATATTGATTAAAATGTCGTCGGAGAAATATATCACAATTACGCGCGGTTGAATTGTATTCATATTAATTCCATGGTCCCTCGACGATGCCTCCGTTTTTGTAGGTCTATAAATCAGCGTGTGTTTCTGAAATTAAACTACGCTAGAATTATAAGGTTGAATGATTGGACCGACTTTAATGAGAAATATAACACGTACTGTCAACTAAATGTTAATTTTATTCTCGGCAAACGGTCACTGCATGTTTGTATCCGTACAGAATTCATCACTGTTAATTGTCTGCAGTGATCGGAACCAGAGTGAGAACCGGACACGAAACCCCTACATTCCTATTTTATTTTGTCACCAACTTTGCCAATTTTCTCATATCGTGCTATATATATGTCTCTTATACACATCTAGATGTGTATAAGAGACAGGGCCTGACCACGCCACGAGTAGAGAAAAAGTTTACTGTTCCCCAGCGTAAAACGGACGTAGAGGGCGGGCTAAGAAGCCGATGGCAAAAAATAATCGACTTATTTTAACAAAAAAAAAAAAAAAACATTTTAGCAAAAAAAAAAAAAAAAAAACCCCCCCCCATTTTGTGTTCATGTTAATGCAATCAAATTTATTTTATAAACTCCTGTTACCACCCTCTATTAACAAACACCATCGATTAGGTTAGAATCGAAATTCGTAAATTATTGTAAGGTGACATGGGATGCAAGATAAATGTATTGCCCAATAGAGAAACTGTCTCTTATACACATCTATATAACAGAGCATGGTAGGCAATGATTTCATAGAAATCTTCATTTCCAATAACTAGAGTACATGTATTTAACTCTTTTTTATTTCTTTCTAATGAAATTTCAACAAAGATATCCTATGATTTGGTGGGCAGGCCCTTTGAAAGCAACTCAGTATCATTCACCTCAGTGATATATACATTGAAGCTTTCTAACCATGATCCACTACTTAAACGTCTTCTTGTTGAAATTGATAAATATTCCGGCCGATACGTCATCTCCGGAATGTAACAATGTCTGGAACAATATACTAAGTTTGGATAAAAATACAGGTTGCATGGTTACAGTTTACAGTTGATGATTTTGAAATGATGATGATTATGCAAATAATACTATTATTGTTATAGGTGTTTAGGAATGCGAGGCTTCCATTTCACAAGTCGGGGGGAGATTATCGTCAAAGGCAAAGGTCAGATGTCAACATACTTTTTAGAGGGAAATGAGAATGCGACTATCGATGAAATTCTTGGTAGGGGGCAAACGTCAGATACTGAAAGTAGTTCAAGTAGAGGGAGTACACCAGAAAAAGGGGACAAAGCAAAGGAATCTCCTACAACACCAGCCAAGAAAGGTAGGCCACTCGAAATTTTGGTATCGTTACTTATAGATATTCAAACACAGTTTTGTATGTTCTCTCAAAATTGTATTTTGTGACGAAAAAATTGAAATAAAAATAAATAGTAATTTTTGCGTTTAATTCTCCGGTGAAGAAAGTATGTTTTTTATTTTTTTTTATTTTTATTTTTTTTTTTTTGTTATTTTTTATTTATTTTTTTTTAAATACCATATAACATTTCTGAAATACACAATTTTTTTAACAGATATCAGAAATTCAGCAAATGACAAGGTAATACCAATGGTCTATCCAGATGACATAGCTTCACCCGACAAATCAAAGCTTAAGCCTGGCGGAAATGTTTACTCCACTGTGGACCGAGCGCCCTCTAAAGGTTCTTTGCGATCAAGTAAGTAGTTAGTTCTCAAAACAACCAGTTGTTGTTTTTTAAAATAATTGTGTTCATGTTAATGCAATCAAATTTATTTTATAAACTCCTGTTACCACCCTCTATTAACAAACACCATCGATTAGGTTAGAATCGAAATTCGTAAATTATTGTAAGGTGACATGGGATGCAAGATAAATGTATTGCCCAATAGAGAAACTGTCTCTTATACACATCTATATAACAGAGCATGGTAGGCAATGATTTCATAGAAATCTTCATTTCCAATAACTAGAGTACATGTATTTAACTCTTTTTTATTTCTTTCTAATGAAATTTCAACAAAGATATCCTATGATTTGGTGGGCAGGCCCTTTGAAAGCAACTCAGTATCATTCACCTCAGTGATATATACATTGAAGCTTTCTAACCATGATCCACTACTTAAACGTCTTCTTGTTGAAATTGATAAATATTCCGGCCGATACGTCATCTCCGGAATGTAACAATGTCTGGAACAATATACTAAGTTTGGATAAAAATACAGGTTGCATGGTTACAGTTTACAGTTGATGATTTTGAAATGATGATGATTATGCAAATAATACTATTATTGTTATAGGTGTTTAGGAATGCGAGGCTTCCATTTCACAAGTCGGGGGGAGATTATCGTCAAAGGCAAAGGTCAGATGTCAACATACTTTTTAGAGGGAAATGAGAATGCGACTATCGATGAAATTCTTGGTAGGGGGCAAACGTCAGATACTGAAAGTAGTTCAAGTAGAGGGAGTACACCAGAAAAAGGGGACAAAGCAAAGGAATCTCCTACAACACCAGCCAAGAAAGGTAGGCCACTCGAAATTATGGTATCGTTACTTATAGATATTCAAACACAGTTTTGTATGTTCTCTCAAAATTGTATTTTGTGACGAAAAAATTGAAATAAAAATAAATAGTAATTTTTGCGTTTAATTCTCCGGTGAAGAAAGTATGTTTTTTATTTTTTTTTATTTTTATTTTTTTTTTTTTGTTATTTTTTATTTATTTTTTTTTAAATACCATATAACATTTCTGAAATACACAATTTTTTTAACAGATATCAGAAATTCAGCAAATGACAAGGTAATACCAATGGTCTATCCAGATGACATAGCTTCACCCGACAAATCAAAGCTTAAGCCTGGCGGAAATGTTTACTCCACTGTGGACCGAGCGCCCTCTAAAGGTTCTTTGCGATCAAGTAAGTAGTTAGTTCTCAAAACAACCAGTTGTTGTTTTTTAAAATAATTGTGTTCATGTTAATGCAATCAAATTTATTTTATAAACTCCTGTTACCACCCTCTATTAACAAACACCATCGATTAGGTTAGAATCGAAATTCGTAAATTATTGTAAGGTGACATGGGATGCAAGATAAATGTATTGCCCAATAGAGAAAACTCTACTCTATTTACACTTACAATTCAAAAGTAATGATTACACGATACCGTGTGCCCGCTATCGGCTCCTCTTATATCTTGCTAAATTGCTATTAATTTGAGAAAATTACATTAGCCTACTTAGCCTGGCATAGGCCTGATCATTTCTGTATTTATTTATGTCCTGGCATAGGCCTGATCATTTCTGTATTTATTTATGTACAGACCCAGGAACGCACACAAACGCTCACCAGGGTGGAATAACGTCGATACGAGAGCAAACAGAACCGGGCGAGTCAACAACACCAACAACGAGCAACAACATCGACGACACGCCCTCACCAGCACCTTCGGGTCACAAGGAGTCAAAGGCGTGTAAGATACTTTAAAATCCACATTTACGAAAGTACTAGAATATCTCGTATTTTTACTTGGTTCGTCCACACTTTGCATTACCTTAGAATACTAGATGCAGTTCAACAACGAATTGCATCTACTTCTCTATGTTTTTGCAAATTTAGCATAGGGTATCAGATGCAAGTCCACGCTGAATAAAAATTGTCATAAAAAATAATATTAAACGTTAAATATACCAAAGGTTCAAGATTTGAAAATGGTTATTACGTCAAATCGACATGCTGTAAATATTGAGAAAATATTGTTTAAATATTATTGGATTTATATTTCGTTACACTGCTAATTAATAGATCTATTTATTTGTTGGAACTTTAATAAAATATCAGGGTTCCATTGATTAGATGTAATAATACTTTATGTATATTTTTATTTATTGTCATTTATCATTTAGTCTGTAAATGTGAATTAAGTTAAAACGTAACTGTTCCTCAATAAAATATGTATTATACTTCTGATATTACTATCCAAGGTATCTGACAATGAGGAATCGATAGGAATTTGTTTAAATCGGATGTTTTGTTGAACTGATTAATTACAATAATTTAATGATACAATGATTATGACAGAGGCCTAATATCACATAAAACGCAGCGTTGTTAACTAACTACAGTGTTTCAGAGATTGCCTTTTCAAAGGTTATATTTTGAAGATGATTATGTATGTATATACGTTTGGAGTAAGTACAGTACATACTACAACCCTAATGGAAAGTAATGATAATACCGGTGAAAATAACCAGCTTAATACAAACTGGACATAGCGCCCTCTCGTGTCAGTAAAATAATAACAGATCCTATGACCAATAATCAAACACGATCTTTAATTAAAGCATACCCGAAAGTGCATTCTGCCAATACTACAACGGTAGTCCGTTTGTAATTATGTATCCATCAGCATGTTTGAAAAAAAAATACGCAGAAGTGATAATACGGTACGTGACCCAACCAATTTGCTCTTATTTTACAAGTATTTTTTAACGACGATTTGATACGTGTTGGCAAGTTAAATTTCAAGATGGGCACAATAACACTAGAAGAATATAGACTAGATTGCTAGAGTGTTAAGAAAGTTATCTTTGTTTGTGGATGGTTCAAAAATGCAAAAACCATTTTTAATATCTATATTGAAAGTACGCATCATACATTTCATATCCAAAGAGAATAAAGCAGCATGTCGTATTTACGGTACGGTGTATGCGCTAAACTGGAACATTTTCAGACCTTTTGTCTGCTTTACCATTGTTTTTAGCTTTAAAAAAATTACAGTAGCGCATGGTCTTTGGGAAGAGAAGTTTTAAGCTCTATCCACACTATCAAATTTTCTTTGACAAAAAAAATTGACATGCCCATATATGGTAATGCTATGCCTATATATGGTCATGGTGTGATGTCATCATGCCTATATATGGGCATATCACACTTTTTTGTCACACAGAATTTGATAGTGTAGACAGAGCTTAAGAGGTTTGTCCAATGTGCAATTGGTGCAATATGGCCCATGTGCAGGTTAAAGAATGCGGTACTTTCTTTAGACAAATGGAAGGGGATTGTCTTCCAGTCCAGGCCTACAACTGCCAAAATCCATGAGCACATCCATATTATACTTGATGAGTTGCTTAAATTGTACATGCAGGAATAAAAAATAGGCCACCTTTACCAGCTGTTGAGTTAAAACTCGGGTTACGCCTTGCATGACAGCAAATCAAAAGTGCATTTTATAATAATAATGATTAATAATTATTAAAATGTATAGTACATAAAGATACCATGAGGGCGCTAATATACATAATTATAATATAAAATAATTCCACAATTAAAAACGTATTTTTATATTTGTAATAGAAATCAATAGCTTTTGTATATTTGTAAGTTTATGTAAATATTTAACGTTTGTCGTTGTATGTATAAATTTTCAAATATAATTGTTTATTATCTATCGTTTTTGCCCATGGTTACATATCTTGATTATTTTATATAGGCTTAGTCGGCGATCGAATTTTATTTATAGGCATGTAACATCGCTGTATTGACACGTTTGATTTATTCAATGCCAAAATGTGTCTGAATATTGCTAAGCACAAAGCTAAGCATAATAGCATGACGTTCTGTATCCAAACGCAAACTGTTAATAATTTTGTTTCCTCTAATTGTTATTATTACTTTAACATTTTTATTGTTTACCATTATAATTTCCTTATTATCGTTAATGTTGCCATTCTAATAGAATTAACATTTGGCGTATTTTTTGTTGAATTAAAAAGTTATAAAGTATACAATGTTCAATAATTGTAATTAATTAGGACAATTTTTAGGCTGGATGTACAGTACAAGTTTATTCTGTGGAGGCAGTAATAGGCCTCTTCGCTAAGCCCCACCACCGATTTTATATTGTTGCTAACAGTCTCAAAACGGGAGCGTGAATATTAGTAAACATGTGCGTTTATGGGACAAGTACGTATTTCTGCCCTGCCATTTACTGGTCAAGTATGTTGAGTTTTGTTGACACTCTGGAAAGGTTAATGTAGATTAAGGTTGACAAATCATGTTTGAAAACAGAGGCTATACATTTCATTCATCTTATAAGTATATTGTTTAATTTGGTCATACCGGTACTACTAGAGAGTTTTGGTTTACTTGCTCAATAAATATGTAGTGTACCTTGTCAATTGAATCAATAAAGACAAATTTGGCATTTGATATTTGTGGCTATTATGATGTGTGTCCTTTTTTATAATCTAATGTTCATATCCATGCATAAGGTTAAATTGTTTAAATAAATATCTTGTCTATACGTTATATTATATTAAATGGTTTCATTTCACTGATGAAATTGAAGTCTTCTGATAGTATTTTTTTTTTTGTATATCTTGGTATATAAGGCCTTATTTTGCCATCAATATCGATGAGAGGCAGCCACAATATTTATTTGGTTTATAAGCCATGAAATATCGCTGGGCTGAAACATAGCGAGAGTCACTTCACAATTCCTCGACAGTACATGCTGAAGTACTGTAACTATGCATGGCCGACCGAGAATGGTCAGCGTGTAGTTCGAACCCTCGAAAACGAGGTTCACAACCTGAATTGAAATCGCTAAGCCAAGCCGCCTTCCGCAAATAATAATGCACAAGCATTATTCGTTTTGAACTTATAAATACCATTTTTTTTAAAGAAAATTTATACAGTAGGCTAGCCCTATAAGCGACAAAGCAATCAGATAAAGAATAGATGATATAGAATTGTAGTGTTTTGTGGCTTTCCTTTTCACTAATTTACATATTTCTCAGCTTTTGGAAAAGCATAATAAATTAAAGAATGTTTTTAATGATAGTAAAATATAAACAAAACGGAAATAACCTTGATATAGTGAGATCAAGAGTATTGTCTATAACTTATGCATTCTGAAAGATGAGAAAGGTCCAAAAATTATGATTACGACCCACCCAGAAAAATCCTGGATACACCCCTGCAAAGGAACATGAATATTTATATAATGTAATGCAAGTCTATATTAACATTTAATATATTCTAAACTTATTTTCTGTAAAAAAAATGTATGGCTAAATTCGAATAAACTTTTAAATATTATTAAATCTGAATAATGCTTTCTGGTACAAGTTGCACTAATATTTATACAACAAGATTATTCTTCCCAATTACAACTACTGTTAATACATCTGCGCCTTCCCCATCAAAAGGACATACCGACAAATTCCAAGTCCTTCACAATTGAGCTTTTAATGTAATTCTTCAAGTTTCCCGTCTACCTCCATATGATTCTCTACAGCTCTTCTTAATCTCATGACAGTCAATCCACGTGCCTTGCACCTATCTAAAAAAGGTACCGTATTCGCTCTCTCCAATGACAAATTACCACTCGTCCCACAACTTAGAACGTTCTGCTTTTGCCTATACATAAACCTAAATCATATAGATCATCATTTACAATACTGTTTTCTGTAAAAAAAAAAAATGTATGGCTAAATTCGAATAAACTTTTAAATATTATTAAATCTGAATAATGCTTTCTGGTACAAGTTGCACTAATATTTATACAACAAGATTATTCTTCCCAACTGCAAGTACTGTTAATACATCTGGGCCTTCCCCATCAAAAGGACATACCGACAAATTCCAAGTCGTTCACAATTGAGCTCTTAATGTAATTCTTCAAGTCTCCCGTCTACCTCCATCTGATTCTCCACAGCTCTTCTTAATCTCATGACAGTCAATCAACGTGCCTTGCACCTAACTATCTAAAAAAGGTACCGTATTCGCTCTCTCCAATGACAAATTACCACTCGTCCCACAACTTGGAACGTTCTGCTTTTGCCTATACATAAACCTAAATCATATAGATCATCATTTACAATACTGTTTTCTGTAAAAAAAAAAAATGTATGGCTAAATTCGAATAAACTTTTAAATATTATTAAATCTGAATAATGC